ACCCCGCGCCTTAATCATCCCCTTAGGATGCCCCACAGCAAGCTCCAAGTACCCTCATTCCATTCTTTCTATTCCAATAGACTTTATTTATGTATTTAGAATTTATGACTTATTGAATATGCGGTTACACAGCCTCCCGTGTAACCATCTTAGAGGGTTATGAAAAATAAAATTATTAAACTATAACAATAAAATACAATAAATGAGTGTACAATATAAAATGGCTCTGTTAAAAAGGAGGCGGGGAGAGAAAAGAAAAGAAAACAAGCGTTCAAACAGGAAGACCTGTGGTGTCATTTTTTTTTTTTCCTGTTATGTGAATACAAAACTCAGTCGCGTCGGCTGGTAGCGTGACATGACTGCAGAAAAGACAAATGCTTTAAACTGCCTCAATGAAAGTGTAATTTCCAATTCACAGGAAGGAATCTTCTTCTTTTGAACAGGCCCCGTTTCAAGTCCTGTGTCCAGGATGATTCTTCGATCCCTGTGCTGGGGTAGAGACCCAGGGAGGCGGTCTTAAAGCCAATATTCGGAAACCATCATGCAGCAAAAGGAGAAGAGCATAATCTTAAGTCCTGGGAAGGGAGGTAGTATTCGGAAGAGCCTCGGGCTGCTGCTCCCTGATCCAGTGGGGTATGGGAAGGAGGGGAGGAGAAGCACAATCAGATTTGCAAGATTCTGTTATTATAGCCGATCTTAATATAGCTCTAGTCTTCTTGTGGAATCGGTTTCCTGATCTGGTCTACCTGGACACCTGGCTGACGTACTGAACGCCATGACCTAAGTGGGCTTTTCCAATTCTGAAATTCTATCTAGGCCAACATTGTGGGAAGTGACCAGAAAACCATCCCTGGTCAAGATTTGCTGTGATGCCCGGTGCAAGATACATAAATATCCTGCCCATTGTTAATACTAAGTTTGGCAAAGCCCCAGTGGGTCATGTGAAACACTCAGAGAAACTAACCATAGCTAGCACGTGGTGTCATATGCCTTTCAGGACATAGTTCAAAGACAATTCTCGCAAAACTCAAAAACCTCAGGTCCAAAGTGCAACAGTGTGTTCCCGACGTATAGCCAGTATTTGGTTTATGATTGATACTGACATAGTTCCCACAGCACAATAAACCATCATGCGCATTGTTAAGCTTTGGCTTAACCTGTTGAGTCAATCTGGTTGTCGTCGCTTGTCAGCCAGGGTTATGGCTTGGTGCAAAAGACGAATCCAACCAAGTTTGCTTTGTCCAGGAAATCGTCTCTGAGCAAAAAAATGAAAACGAAAAAGCTAGCATGATGTCGGAACCAAGTCTTGTTCACACATTGCACTAAACCATAAAGAAAGAAATCTCGTTTTAGCTCAGCAGGATATGTGGATCCAGCACTATGATTTATAAACCACAGTTTACAACAGCATATTTTGTAATTCTAGCCAACTCAGGATTATGTAGTAAACCATGTTTAGGCAAACCATAATTTAATACCATGTGTGAATTTGATTAAGGGTTTAGAGAGGGAGCAATATGATGAATAGCAACATAAGTGAGTAGTGTAAAAATATACGACGAAGACACGTTAGTTCCAGCTTCTGTTGATTAAGCTAAAACTTGGTAACAGTTTGTCATTTTTCCATGTGCAACACTTGGCATTCTTCTTTCGGAGTAAGAAACGTGCTTCACAAGCTTGGGCTTTATAAAGCTGGGCTGCTTATTTCATTTTGCTGTATACATTTCTTCCCCTGGAAAATACAGTGGTATATATCGCAGTATTTAGCACGCTTAAACAATAGTCCAGCCAAGGATAGCTTAATTCTCGTTTTTAAAATGTCAGGCTCACATACCTAATATCACAAACGGGCCCAGTCAAGTTTTTTTGTTTTTTTTTTTACATTCCAGAACCTACTTTTCATGTTTATCCAATTTAGCTCAATGTTTTTGGCAACAGTCCCAGTTAGAAGAAAGATAGTATTTCTGTGCATGGCACGCACGGAAGATACTTAGATAGCATGTGACAACTTGCATCCAGTTAGGCCCAAAGGAAGAGAAGCTGATAAAAGAGATATGCTTTATCTCTCTCACATAACAATTAACTATGTCAGTAATTGGCATTACCATTACTAGATCATTGACTGATTATATACCATCAAGGCGGAGTTGATGCTTAGCAACTACACAGGAAGACCTTCTCCATGATGATCTGTCCTGATCTGCTCTTCCAATGGTGAACCTATTGCCATTGTAATCAAGTCCATCCACCTTGCTTCCGGGTTGCCCTCTCCAATTTCCTTCCACCTATCCCAGGATTACAGACTTCTCAAGAGAACTAGATCTTTAGATAATATGTCCAAAATAGGATAATTTGAGCCTAGTTATTTGTGCCTAGAATGAGAACTCTTGGGTTGATTTGTTCAACGATCCATTTCTTTGTTTTCTTGGCTGTCCACGATATTATCAGGAGTCTTTTCCAACACCAACATTTGAGAGTGTCAATACTTTTTCTAACTTGCTTCTTCAAGTCCAGGGAAAACCATCGCCTGCACGATTCTGATTTTCGTAGATATAGCATCTGAAGTTCTTCTCCAAGGCCTTTATCGCTACCCTACCAAGGGCTAGTCTGCGGTGTATTTCTTGACTGCTGCTTTCTTTACTACTGATAGTTGATATTAAAAGGCAGAAGCTTCAGGATCTTCATTGGCAGTTCTAAGGCTGGTTGCTATACCTGTTTTCATTACTTTAGTCTTCTTTATATATAATCTTAGTCCCATTTTTTTCCCCACTATGCTCCTTGACTTATTTGGTCGTGTTTCCTGTCTGGTCTACCTGGTATGTCTGACATCTATTGAGCACCCTCACTGTTCACGTTGCTGATGGGGATGGGAGTTATAATCCAGCATAGCTGCTAGATTAAAGGCAGAGGTAGCAAGTAATTTTATTTTTGGACTGCATTAGAAACAGCTGTTAAAATGCTTAAGCCTTCTTAGTTTAAACATTTCTTTGTCATTCCTGCAACATTGGTCCTTTTATTGAGAAAGCTAAATTTAAAAAGGATGGGGGGGGGTGAGTCAAATGCCAATGTTGATCCAGAATATTTCAGCAACAGAGAAGACCTGTTGGAGACTTTCTAGTGCTTAAGATAGAAAATGAAAATGACTTCCTACTCGCATAAATCCAAAATGAAAATCTTAAGCAATTATGATTCACTGGCCTTTAATGTTGCTGAAATCTGTGTTAAATGACTATTAGCTTCCAAAGCTAGTTTTCAAGGACGCCACCTGCCCAACATGGATAGACAGCATTGCAAGTCTGTGTAATATTAGTAGCAAGTATGTGGGCTGGCTAAAACAATATCCATTATGAAATCAATATATAGGTATTTATGGAAAGCAAAGGAGAAAAATAAAGTTAAAGGATATGATTTTGTTAGGCACAGATCACTGGTATTGTGGAACAGGAATAGCAATAGACTAATAGATTGGTTGTCCCAAAAGATATGAATTGATGGATTTTTTTCTATTTAAAAAAAAAATCCTAAAAGATGTGATTTATAGGATTTTTGTTTAATAAGTATGGGATTAATCATGGGAAAACTGCATCGGTGTTGTGAGAAAAACATAACTGGAACTAAGAAGAAAGATGTATAATCTTCATGTATTTATTCTTGGTATATTCATTATAAACACTTCTGCCCCTATTTTTATTCCCTGTGGTTTGATAGCATCTTAATTCTGTATGGTTTGGGAGTTGTTATTTGATAAACATGGCTAATATTTTCAAATTCTATTATGATTGTTCAAATTTTTTAACTCTGCCCTAAAGTTTTCAGCGACCTGTGAATGTCTTTAATTCTTGCTGGTTATAACGTGCATTTTATAAAGTAGCTGGGAAGACAGTGTGTAAAAGTCATTGTCCTTGAGTAACAGCGTACTTGTTTTCACAGAGAAGAAATTATAAGAGCAGACTCCTCTCCCTTAAGGAGTTTGGAGAAAAATTAAACTCTTGCAGCAAACAGAGCATCTGGATGGATGAAGAGCTGTGGGGAGCGGTGCACGAAAAGGCAAGATGAAACTTGCTTTAATCTAATAGGCATTTTTCCTTTGGAATGTTCTGCCTCATTTCAATGAAGCAATTCAAATCTGCGAATATCCACCCCCATCATTTGATGGGGTGAATTAATGTGCTAAGTATTCTGGCTTAGGATGATATTAACAAACATGGGGCAAAATGATGGATGTGCTTATATCTGAAACATATGTCTTATATTTATAAATGCCTCCATTTTAAGTTATTGATACATTCATAAATTAAAATGCCTGCTCCAAGTTTTAGTTGTTGATATCTTTTGTCCTGTCCCGTGGGAATGTCTGCAAGATGTGGTCAAAAAAGTCAAGATGGCAGCCACGATGGTGCAATCAAAACTCCGCCCACATGCAAGACACAAAAAAACAGGTGGAACTTCCATTGCAGCCATCATCCTGACTTTGCTTTTTTTATCACACCTTGGGGACACCCTGCAGTCCCATAGGCATTTCTTGGCCGACATTTGGTCTTGATGTTGATGCTAACGTTTGAAGCGGCTAGATCTAAAAGCATAAATTAAAAAATTCTAATTTGTTCATTAAAAGAAGGCGGTATTTGCGCAACCTCTTTGCTCCAGGTCTTGTAAAAAGCAGGTTAAGCCTATTGAAAGGAGCCAGAATTGAGTGTTGTGCTATGACCTCCCTCCCTTCCAGCTCCCTCCTGCATCATATGGATTTTGAGAAAACACCTTGACTTTTCCCGTGTCACTTTTTAACCGGGTTTTTACAAAGCTAGGGGCTGCATTGCACAACATTTTTAGCTTGGTTTTGCGACGGACGTTGGCCGCGGCTTGTTTTCTTGCTGTAGTGTGCCCTGCAAACCGGTTTGGTTTGGTTGGTTGAGGATTCCTTGCCTTGAACTCAGAAGATGGATTCATTCCTTAACCGCGAACCCTCTGCCTTGGAGCATGGGGTTTGCTGGAAAAAAGAGCTGCTCCATCTTTTAAGACAGTGTTGCTCAGCCCCAGCAACTTGAAGATGGGTGGACTTCAACTCCCAGAATTCCCCAGCCGGAATTCTGGGAATTGAAGTCCATCCTTCTTCAAGTTGCTGAGGTTGAGCAACAGTGGTTTAGGATATAGGATTGGGCCATGTCTTTCTTAAAATGTGATGAGTTTTGTCTATGCTAACCCTAACTGGGCACCAGCTGCCCCGAGATACGGTGGAATGTATTTCTTTTTGAGATATTGTTAGAGAATTTATGGCGGCGCCTCCGTCCCTCAGGAGCATCCCCATTTTCTCTCCTGAGGAGACTTTCTTTCTTCTTCCCTCCTCCTCTTAATCGTTACTGAGGCAACTGCCCCGCCCCTCCCCGGCGGTCTTATCCCTTTATAGCCAATCCCGGCGCTCAAGGGATTTTTTTTTTTTAAATCGCCCTTTTAAACCACGCCCCGGCTCGCTCGCGGACGAGAGGGGCGAGGTTTGGCTTTCCCAACGGTCTCGGGTTTCTATTCCGCCTTTTCAAAGCTACCCTGGCGCCCTGCGCGAGCTTTCCGAGGCGGCGTCCTGTACGCATGCGCGGCTCGCTCGTTGTCGAGGCATTGGGAGGGGGCGAAAAAAAAGAGAAAGACAGTGGGATAGGGGTAAGGGAGGGCGCGCGCGCGCGAGCGAGCGAGCGGCCGTTCCTATTGGTTGTCGCGGGCGCGAGGGCCGCGTTCCAGGAAAGTGGGCGGGGCGGGCGAGCTCGCGCGCGGTCCCTGGCCGCTCTCCGCCCGCAGTCGGCGGCGCCTCGGAGCTGGGCTGCAGCATGTCTACCGGCCGTGCCAAAAAAGTGAAGATGGCCACCAAGTCGTGCCCTGAGTGCGACCAGCAGGTGAGAGCCGCAGCGTTGTCCCGGCTCAGGGGGCTGGCTGCCCTGACAGAGCCCCCTCCCCGCGGCTTTGTCCATCGTCCTGCCCGAGCAGCGCACCTGGCCCGTCCAGGTGTGTTGCCCGCGTGGTCTGTCCAGGCGCTCTGGGGAGGGCGAGGATGCGTGCTCCCTTGACCACGGCGTGGACGCTTGCGGCTCGGGACCTGCTCTGAATGCCCTCCCCAAAGCCGGTTCTGAAGGGGGCACGTTCTGCTCTTTTCCAAAGGCTGCTCATCTTTAATTGGTAAATGGGTGGCAGTTGCAAGGCTGGGAGCAAAAGCAGACCAAGATCAGGGACAGGCTGTAAATCAGCTTTTTCCTCAGCCTGATGTTCTGCAGAGATTGGCCCTTCAGGTCCCGGGCTTGCTTATAGCTGGACCACCTCTGGCGGGCGCCGGGTTGGAGAAGCTGTAAATCAGTTGTCCTGGTCTTCAGGGCCTGCTCTGTAGTATTTTGCAGAGCTGGGAGATATTCTGAATAAAGGTCTCCATTATATTCCCTGGAGGTGTGATCTGGAAAAGGTAACAGGCTGGAAATGCCTGGCTGCATTAATCTTCCTTGATGGGTAGAATGGGGACCTGCTAGTGCAGTCCTCTGCATGTTGACTCAGAAATTGCCCATTGAATTCAACAAGATTTGCATACAGTGCAATAATTAGAAAATTGCCACCTTAGTAGCTGACAGTACAGTTTTAGATCGGCTAAGGGTTTCTACTCTCAAATGCAGGTAATTTTGTTTTTAAAATGTTGCGGTTATTACCATGCTTCCTGCAAATAATACATTCCCCCCCCCCAATGTTTTCTGGTATTATTAATTAGCTTTAGATCTGCTACCATCCCTTGAACAAAAACATGTCAGTTTTACAGTTATCAGCCTACTGTTAGTTAATGTGTTGAGCTGGAGGAAAACCCCTTTTGTTTGTACTGCTTTATGCAGATAAGCAATCTTCTAGTTTTCCAGTTAGATCTGTATAACTGAAAGCTTATATATTTTTAATCCCTGATCTATGAAAAACAAGCATAGGATTTCTTTGTTGTGAAACAATACAGAAAACATAATTATTTTGAGGAAATAAGAGTGCTGGAAAAATAGTTCTAATAATTCCTTATACTTTTGTTTTAGTATAAGTAAATATTTGCTGAGAGCCAGTTTGGTATAGTGGTTAAGGCATTAGGCTAGAACCAGGAGACTGTGGGCACAAAGCCAGCTGGGTGACCTTGGGCCAGTCACTCCCTCTCAGCCCTAGGAAGGAGGCAGTGGCAAAACACCTCTGAAAATCCAGGAGTGAATACTGATTCGAAGGCATTTTAAAAAATGATATTTTCTCTCTTTGAAAGTCTGCTTTTTGCTATTTAAAATTATGTAGTTCTTTATTTTGGTCATTTAAAATTATATGTATAAAACTTGGGAAGGTAGTGTGTGGCAAAGCTAGTAGAATTTGACAATTTATCTTTGTTTATTTAAAAATGTAATACAACTTCAGCTGGATAGTGCAATTTGGAAGGAAACTTGCATGCATCTATATTCTGTATTTGTGTTTCCTGTTGGCATCTGGTTGGCTGCTGTGGGAACAAAGTACTTCAGTAAATAGGCCCTTTGGTGTGATCCAGCAGAGCTGTTGTCAGAGATTTTTCAACTGTTCTTTCTTTCCTTCCTTAATGGGCTTTCTGTGGTAAGAGAAAAAAGATGGGTGCAGCTATATAAGAATACAGGGTACTTGTATGTGGCAGTTGATACAATATCTGGGCTCCCATAAAATTCAGAGAACAAGGCTGTGTAAGAGCATAATAGTAGCTTCCTTTGGAAGCATCTTAGGTCTATTCATGTTAATGGTACAGTATGATTGCAGCATTTCTTTTGTAAAAGTTGGCTGCTAACAATTTGCAGTGCAATCTCTTAGCTTGGTACAAGTGGCCTTGAATAGGCTGAATTCAAATTGGTTAGTTTCAGTGGTTTGTGCCCTTTATTGGTCGGGTTGGGTTGGGTTTGTTTTGAAGTCTGTGGGGTATTTGGTGAGCCATCTTAAGCACTTTCAGCTCCAGACTTCATCTAACAAGTAGTAAGTTTATTTTGTGTATACATGTATCGACAGTGGCAGAATTTCCAGCAAGCCTGATGTTTTGTTGGAAATTCTGGGAATTATTGTCCCTTGGCCTCACTGACTGGCAAGTCTGGGAACTATAGTTGTGAAATATTTGAAGGAAATCAGGTTGAGACAGTTCTAAAGCAAGAAATCTACTTCTACCTTTGAATACTTATATATTTAAGTAAGGAAAGCCTAACCTTGTCCAGTTGTGTGTACTCGTGTGTTTTCCACATTTCACAAAGATACTGTACAAAATAACAGTGACTGTATTGCAGTGTCATTTGCTGTGGCAAGTGTAAAGGTTCCTTGTGCTTCAGGCATAATCTGATCTGGCGTAATTTCTCAGAGTTATGCACTTCCTTTCCTACTGTATAACAAATTATTCAGAAATTTCAGCTTTGAGTGATTATGTGGTATTTTATGGCCCCTAAAGTCTCCTTTTGCTTATTCCTATGAGAGGCTTTGCAATTTAATTTATTTTACAAGGCTCTTGCATCAAAAATGTTTATTTCTCATTCTGGTTATAGATGAGCTTGAAATCTGGTGCAGTCATGCAAACTGAAGTAGTTCCCCTATGAGGAAAAATGTTTGGAGTTTTCTAGCTGAAAAAAAGAAGTTGGTGTATAGGGGTATATAAAATTATTCCTTGGCAGGGAGGGAGTGGGGAGGGAGAAACTCTTCTTTCTCTCTGATAATGCTAGCATGTCAGGAAATCCAATAAAGCTGAGTGGTTGGCAGACTCAGGCTAAATAAAGAGATGCATTTCACTCAGGGCATGGTAAGCTGTGGCATTTACTTTCCCAAGATGCAGTGATGGGTGTCAATTGCAGCTTTAATAGGGAATTAGAATAAGGCTAAATGGTTACAACTTATTAGTCCCAATGACTATTACCTCTACCTTCAACTTTATGTCTACCTGCCTCCGTGCTCCAGCAGTGATGATAAATAGCAGTGAAAATATCATTTTTCCTGTAAGATCTCCCAATATCAGGATGGAAAAAGTTGACACACACACACACAGACACACACATGCACATGCATATTTTAAAATATACATATATGTGTGTATTTTAAAACTGGTTCTGCTTCTTACATTCTTGCCAGCTTGCTGCTTAATTATTCAATGGTTGTAGTTTTAAAATGGTTTGTAGATGCTGTGTTTTGTTAATGGCCTAATGAAGGACTAGAAGCAGGACTGGGGAAGCTAAAGGACGCCTTAACATGAGGTGAAGATGATTGCTATAATGTGCAATTTTCATTCTACGTGCAGTTTCATTTCTACTTTGGCATCGTCATTGGCTAAGACTCATGCTGTTTTTATGACTGAGACCTTTTAGCAATTAATACTGGGTGATGTGTAGCACATTCAATTCTTTATGTTGTTTCCCTTTAAAGAAATACCCTTATCTCCTTTTTTTCCCCTGGGTATAACATACATATTTACTTAGTATTATTATTGGCCTTTTTCAAAACACACAAAAAATAGGTTATATCAGTCTGTTTTTTTTAAAAATCCCCAAACCACTTTTAAGTAATACTTTATTAGAACCATTCAGGATGTCACAAAATGTTTTGGGGATTTCCAGAAGTTGGATGTTAAGCAAAGTGAGGGCAGGAGAGAAATAGACAAAAAATTCCAGGCTTTATGTTAAGCCCAAAAAAGTCTGCATCAGTCAAAGATTTAAGGTGGAGTCAGCAAAGAGGAGATTGCTGTCCTAGATGTGCAGTACTCTCCTAAGTGGTATCCAAGTTTCAAATGACACCTAAGGATAACTTGGTCCAATTAAGTCTGATAAGCCAAAATCAAACCATGTTAAGGCTTATTAGTAACATGGGTGAATCCAGCCAAAGAGTTCTGAAAAATTGGAAGCTTAGTCATTATTTTATGACACATTTTATTTGGACTTAATTAAAGTATTACATATTCTCAGTTCTGTGATTCTTAGTGATAAAAATACATTACCTTGTTAGCTTTATTTTTTTCACATTTCTTTAGACATTG